TGTGGGTGGTAGGCCGTTGACATCTTCAGATCAACGCCGAGCAGCTTGTGCAGTGCGCGCCAAAACGCCGACATGAACAGCTTGTCGCGATCAGAGATAATCTCCCCTGGTAAGCCGTTCTCGCAAACCCAGTTATCGAAAAACAGCAACGCTAACTGTTCGGCGGTGATGTCGGTACGCGTGGGGACCGCGCGCACGTCGGAGTGCAGTCGATCAGTCATGGTCAAGATACAATTATGACCTTGGTCTTCGGGCAGTTCACCAATGAAATCCATCGCCACGCTATCGCCGCGCTCGTCGGGCACGGGCAACGGGTGCAGGGGCCCGGTGTTTTTGTGTGTAGGCCCCTTGTTGCGCTGGCACGGGCCGCACGAAGGTATGTACGCCGACTCGAGATCCTTCCGCATATTTGGCCAATAATATGAAGCGCGCAGGTGCGCATAACTTTTGTCTGCGCCGAAATGCCCGGCGTTGTCGTGCGCGAGGCGGAACAAACGTTCCCGGACGTCCCCGGTCCTTGGCACGAGCAAACGTCCGCCGACATACCACAGTCCATTCGATGTTTCAGCGCCCGGGGTGGAGGCCGCGTTGTCGATCAGACGGGCGCAGAACCTGTCCTCCGTGTACCCATCCCGGATTGACTTCAGCAGCTCGTTGTCGGGTCCAATGGCCAACGTGGCGGCACATACACTAGGCCGCTCACAGGTGAACGCTCCCGGCGGTAGTCGGGACAATGCGTCTGCTACGGTGTTATCTTCACCCTTTATGTATACGATGGTGAGCTCGTATTGCGACAGAAACTCCTGCCAACGCAGCTGACGCCTCGACAGGTCTTTCTGGGTGTTGAAATTTTCGAGGGTACGATGATCGGTGTACACCAGGATTGGCATCCCCAACAGGTCAGCGCGCCATTTCTTCAGTGCGCGTATGACTGCCAGCAGCTCCTTCTCATGAATCGGGTAGTTTAATTCGGCGCCCTTCAACTGCATGGAATCAAAGGCGACCGGACGTGCCGTCTCCCAAGTTGGTCCGAAACTCAGAGTAGCCCCAGTCCGCCAATCGCTGGCATCGCAAGTGACGTAGATGTTATTGTCGCCCGGGTTCTCGTGGTCAATCACAGTGAGACACTCGCGGGATACGACCAGAGCCTTGATCGCCTCGAACGCGCGCTGATGCGCGGGCAGCCACTCCGGAAAATCGCGCTTTGCCTCCTTCGTGGTGAGCGGTGTGAGCACCCGTGTGTGCTCAGCAAGAAGCGGCAGGTATGCTGCAATATACCGCACCAATCCTAGGAAGGCACGTACATCCGTCGCGTTTTTCGGGACCGGCCATTCTAATATCTTGTCGACCTTAGTGGACTGTGCTTCGATGCCCTTTTGGGAGATCCTATGCCCCAGGAAATCCAACTCAAGCAAGAAGAAATGGCACTTCTTTGGATTACAGTACAGCTTGGCATCGCGTAGGGCATCTAGAATCTGTTGTACATGCTTCGCATGCTCCTCGACAGAGTTAGACCAAATGACAATATCGTCCAGGTAGACATGGCAGAATCGGCCAATAAATTGTTGTAACGCGGCTGTCACTCGACGCTGGTGGATTGCGGGCGCATTCCGGAGGCCCATGGGCATGACCAGCCACTCGTACAGGCCTAGCGGCGTAGACACGGCTGTCTTGTGCACGTCGTCGGGATGCACTCTCGTTTGGAAGAACGAGTTCGTCATGTCCATTTTCGACCAAATCTTGCCTTTTGCGCAGTCTGCCAGTATATCATCTACCCGGGGTAGCGGGTGTGCGTCAGGTACCGTGTTGTCATTCAGCATCCGGTAGTCGTTCACCCATCGCGGCAACACGGTGGGATCCGCTTTTGGAATCAGGAAGGCCGGGGAGGCATGTGCCGAGTTCGACGGTTGAATCCTCCCCGCCTCTAGATGGTCCTGTATAAGGGTGGTCCAGGCTTCCTTGTACTTGCGAGGGGACGCATACGTCCTGGTGACGATCTGTCTGTTCGCATCTTTCAATTGGATCCGGCACCACACGTCTGATGGTAGGACGTCCACGTGTGGTATTGGTTCGAAAACGTCCTTATTTCTGGACATCATATCGAGCCCGAGTTCGGTTAGTCGTTGTTGCGCAGCCAACACCTCCACACGCTTTAGTACAGCCGCAATGGGTAGGGGTGAAACATGCGTGTGGTCGGTGTCCAGAGTGTTTCGCACAGGCGCTGTCTGGGCACGCAGTTCGCCCAGCAAGTCCGAGTGATGAGACACTATTTGTTTGAACTGCTCGCGCAGGCGAGGCTTAGGTACAGGTGGTGATACAGGAGGTGCAGAGTCCAACAAGTTAAAATCGCAGTCCTTCGGAATAACAGTACGCGCGGAGTGATCGACGACAACACCATTCCGGACGAGGAATGGCAAACCCAGTATTAAGTCGGCACACAGGCCGGGTGTTACAATAGCACGGACGGTACGGGACTTCCAGCGGAACGAGGGATGTGAAACAGACAACTTGACGTAATGGTACAATGAAACCGTAACCTTTTTTCCTTCTGAGGCCATGGCGAGCTCGACACGTTCAGGTTGCGGTAGTGTTCGCAGTCGCAGGCCCAATTGCTGCACTAGCGGCTCTCGTATGAGGACTGTATGCGAGCCACTATCAATCAGTGCCTGCACCTGTAGGGGTTCTCCAGCGAACGGTCCGTCGAGCAAGCACTGCCATAACAGGTGAGGTTCCCGAAAGGGATCTGCCTGTACTGAGGCCACTGCCGCCACGACCGACGGACTGCTCACTGGATTACAGGAGGGACGTACCGAGCTGTACGAGTCCTCATCCGTTCTATACAGGTCGTTTGCGCTGGGCGAGCGCGAGTAGGAGACGCGACCCATCCCCATCACAGCGGCGACGGGGTGCGTGGGCTGGTCGTCGACGTCGTCCACATTTTCGTCCTGGATGCGCGACGACGAGGCCACCGCCGCGACGGGTGCCCTGCTACGCGTCGACGGCGGGGCCGAATGGCTACGCCCTTTCTTGGCGGCCAGCGCGTCAGCCTCGGTCAAGGTGCGGTAGGATGCGGGGTCGGGCCATGGGTTCGGGCAGGCGTCACGCCGGTGCCCCGCGTAGAATTCGCGGCACTTGTAGCACCCGTCATGCGCGCGTAGAAGCGTGCGTTCTGCGACCGTAAGCGGCGGTACCCGACTAGTGGATGCCGACCTCGGCGGTGCGTCCTTCAAGACCGCGTTGACGGGGGTGGCGTTCCCTCGGCGCGAGGGTTCGCCCAGGGGTCGTCCGCTGCGTGTGTCGGCGCGGTTCTTCGCGGCGTACAGCTGGAAAGCCTCGAAGTCCGCGCGTTGTTGCTCGTCAATCCTCTTCATCGCCTGGAGCCACGGATGCACGCCTTTTTCGGTTAGGACCGTCGCCTTTTTGGCATTCTCGAGCTCCTCGTGGTGGGTGCGGACACGTACCAGCAGCGTGTCGGCCATCCCCGCCTCCAGCACTTGGATAAGGCGAAGCGGTTCCAGCCCGACGTCACTGCGCTTTAGGACCGTGTTCTTCTTGATCACGCGGATGCTGTACTCCGAGAACGTCTCGCCGTTCTTTTGTCGGCAGTGGAGGATCTCGGTGTGCAGAGTGCCGGTCCAGTCCTTGTCGAGGAACTGTGTCCGCAGGCTCTGCATGAAGTTCTTGAATGAGAGCTTCTCGATCGTGTCCCGGTCGCAGGTGATCCAGTCGCGGATACGGAAATCGAGCAACTTGCCTAGTATAGCGCTAGTGCGATCCTCCTCCTTGATCTTCGTACGGTTACGGTTGAAATAGTTGATGCATGCGTCCTCGAAATCGCACAGGATCTCCGCAGATAGCTCCCCCGGGTGTAGGGTGGGCGCCTTGGACGACCCATGGTGCTCGAGGCGGGCCAGATTCGCGACCATTCCGGTATAGGTGATGAAGACGGAGGGGGTATGTGAATCGTCGCTCGAGGACGACGACGCGGACGCGGTAGAACGGGCCGGTGAGACGGGAAGAGAAGGGAGACGTTTCTCCGGAGTGGGCGCGGGTCGCGACTGGAACTCAGGTGAAAGAGAAGGGGTGTGCGGTTCCGGGCGTGGGGGTGAGACGCGCGGAGGAGACGGTGTATGCGGGGCAAGTCGCGGTGAGCTCGGCGCGGATGACAGCGGCGAGGATGCCGTTGACGTTACCAGCGCGTCGGAGGCAGGTGGCGACACGGTGGGCGTCCGCTACGGGGTTTTCGAGTGACTATATGCGCGAGCTTTCGGCTCGCCGGGTACGGGTACGGGTGCGGGAACTGGTGCGATGCGTAGGTGCAGCCCGATGACTGTCCTAGGCGTCGGGGACGGGTACGGGTACGGGTGGTTGGGACGGTCGGGTAAGACGCTCGTTGACACGTAAAAAAAAGTGGAACCCTGCCGCTTGTCTGGCAGGGTACACTAGGTCGTCGAGGTGAAGGGGTGCTGACCGTCCGAGATTACGTGAGACGAGGTTGTCTATTTAAGACGCGAGTCGAGAGTGTAGCTACAGACACGCGAGAGAGGTAGAGAATAAACTAGCGTAATAGAGAGAGAGAGAGGAGAGTGGTTCGGGAACAAGAGACGAACTCGAACGAGGAGTGGAGCAGCGGAAGCAAATGCGGCAGCCAGACCCAAATACGCGCAAACATGTGTCCACGCTTCCATAACCGGTAAGTACTGCCTATCGTGGTGAGCCATAGGCTTACAACTATGTTCCTCTCGACCGGAGTCAACATCCGTCGAATCCAGAACCTCGCGTCTACAATCCTGATGAACTGCCTCTTCGGACCCATGACGAATTCATGCAACAGGCACATGAGGTACAATTTGCGCCGTCGGAGGCAGTGCAGAAGGAGCTGTCACGGAAATATGGCATCAAGGGGGTTCCACTGTTGAGTGTCCTCAGTTCGCTGTCCTTCCCTCTGTCCTTCCCATTCGATTTCATGCATCTCATCTGGGAGAATCTCCTCCCGAATCTTATCAAGCTCTGGACGGGCAAGTTCAAGGACCTCGATCATGCAGACGAGCCATATGTCCTCACGCCCACAGTCTGGGAGGCAATTGGCACCGCGTCTGCTGCCGCAGGCAGTACGATGCCTAGCGCCTTCGGTTCGCGTGTGCCTAACCCTGCAGATGGATCAATCAAGCTCACCGCTGAAACGACGGCGCTCTGGACGCTGTACATCGCGCCGACCTTGCTCCTGAATCGATTCAAGAATGCGAAGTTTTACAAGCACTTCGTTTTGCTTGTCAAACTGCTGAACCTCTGCATGCAGTTTGAGATCACTGACAGTCAAATCGACGAGCTCCGGAAAGGCTTTCGTGACTGGGTGGTGGAATACGAGATGTGAGCCTAGTGATTGACTTGCATGGCTGCTAAATCTGGGCTGACGGCGTCTTAGATTATACTACCGGCACGATCCCGCCCGTCTCGCACTATGTCCGCTCACAATACATGCTTTGCTTCACATCGCAGATAGCATTGCTGCGATTGGACCTGTCTGGACAGCGTGGGCGTTTCCGATGGAACGGTACTGTGGACAGCTTCTTCGGGGCATTCGGAGCCGTCGGTTTCCCTACGCCAGTCTCGACAACTACATCCTAGAGCGCTCACAACTGAAGCATATCAAGTTGCTCTATGACCTATACGAAGAGCTACGACTACGAGCTCCTGCTACTGGTATTGGGCATGTATTACTCCCTGAATGTAAGTTCCCAGCGTGACCTGACTCGTGTGGTGACTCAGCACATTTTACATTGTTTATTGTCAGATCCCCTGTTTGTCTTCATGCCTCCGCAAAGTCGGCACGAGAGGCTTCCAAACGAAATTCACACGAAGATCATAGCATGGCTGGTGGAAGAGTTTGGTGTGCGGCCGAGCACTGCACAGAAGCTTGTCCGCACGGCGCGCTTCACACAATATGGCAAAGTTCGTCGGCTCGAGGGTGGCGATACAATCTCGGCAAGCAATCTTGTGAGACGGCAGGAGGACGGCCGTGACGCAACATTTGTTCGTGTATGTGGCATGTGTAGCATGCAAAGACAGTTCAGCCTACTCACTTCACCTTCAACCCTCCTAGTATGATCGATTTGTTGACAAGAACGCACGCTTCAAGAACAAGCCAGTCGAGATGGAACGCCGAGACAAGTTCGGGCAGCTTCTGCGCGTGGTCATCGTGCCGATCACCGCTGAGATGGACGTGCACCTTCACGTTGATGGTGGACCGCGGACATATGCCCTCGCTGTTATCAGGAGCGTGAAGATCGAGAAACGACATTCACTCGGTATGTCATACTATTCGCAGATGGGTCCGGTGGATGTGGTCGATCTCGATGCTGTGCGATTCGTAGTCGGACGTGTGTACGATCCTAGTCAACGGCTGTGGGCAATTGTCGACCGAAGTGATATCCTGACATCTACACAAGTACAATAATACAGTATCATTGATCTCCGAGTCCTCTGCGCTGCGCGTGCCGGTCTATGCTAGTCCGCCCAGCTGCGATAGTGTTATATAGTACTGAGTGATCCAGGAGTAATCCATCCGTACTCCGCATGAATTTCCTCAAGAGAGCGTATGAGTTTCATCCGGTGCGAAGGGGATGAAATCCATCCGAACGGGTCCTTTGCCACACTTCCTCCAGTTACCGTGCGAAACCAGGCATTCTTTTTTTTTTTTTTTTTTTTTTTATTCACCGGGTTTAGACTCCGTACAACATAGGCACATGTAGAGTATAATAATAGAGAGTCCCTCGACGCATTCACCCGCCTGGTGACGGGGTGAACCAGAGGGCATCGCCCGGCTGTCCAACAGGAGACCGGTTAGGTACGAATTCGTCTGACAACTGACTGGCGTCAGCCGTGAGGCCAGCCGCCGAGTCTAGAAGCGAATCAATACGAGGCAGAGGATGTCGGTCTAGGACACGCAACATCTCATCCACCTCCTCGTCGGGAACATCACCGGCGTCTACCACATGACGTGGCATAGCATCAAACCGGGCAAGCACTTCTTTGTCGTGCTCCCACTGTGATGAAAGATGCTGAGCAAATATCTCAGCTTTGTCGTTGATTTCATCAAAAAATTTGATGACGTCATCGTGATCCTTAGAGAAAGGCTTATCGTGGATGCCTCCCTTCTCAATACGCCCCTTCAGATTGAGCCATTGTGTTTGGCGCCAAACTGTGTGGGCATGTAGTCGCGCCCAATTAAGGGTAAGCATGTCGCCGCGAGTTTCGTCATCCTTACATTTGGACAGGATCTCTGCCCACTCGAAGGTGGCTGCTAATGGATTCATATAGGCGAAATCCACGATGTCACTGGGGGCCCAGCCATGCTGGGTCCTACTGTAATAGGTGTCCACATGTCGCTGCTTCCACCCAAACGGGCCGATGAATGGAGAGTGCTTGTGCTTTTTAACCCGTATCCAAAACGGGCATTTGAAGAGTATGTGATCGCGGGTTTCTTTATGTCCGCCGCGTCCGCACAAACATTTGATTGGTCCATTTTTCTTGAACCGTTCTCGGTATTCCCCGCAAGGGAAGTGATTAGTCAGTAAACGTGCAATTTTCGCCGTTTTCTGATTACTAAACTTGAGACCTTTCGTCTTAAATAAGAACGATTGGTTACGGACATTGGATGGCTTCAGCTGCTTATGCCACCACATCTTGTTGCCCAAGTATTTATTAGGGCGAGATAGGATAGAGGGGTCGGGGACCCCTCTAACATTGGCTTTCTGTACATGGTCCGGGTGTTTATATTCCCGAGCCCACGCGCGTAACATCTCCCTTCGGATGCCTTGCTGGGCAAAAGAAAAGGAAACTATATCAGCAATCGGAACATCCCGATCGTTAACAAGGTCTGAAGCGAGTTTGTCGACTGCTTCATTCCAAAGAATGCCCACGTGTGATGGGCTCCATAAGAAGATGACCTTTCGATCACGCCTTCCTTCCAGGAAGCGTGCAGCTTCCTGATTTGCCATGAGGGCGGCCAGCTGGCTTGGACCCTTACCCGGCTTCATGATCTTCTGCAAGTTACCAATGTTGTCACTTGCGAAGATGAGTGTTTCTGTGCTGCCTTCGACATGCTCCCAGACTTTGTTGGCTGCCTTCGCAGAGGCAAGAACCTCGGCGTCGTAGCTAGTAGCGCGTCCGGCGCTAAATGCGCCTTCTGCAACCTTACGAAATTCCTTTGTGATAATCCACGCAGAAGCACATCGCGTGTTGTCCGGGTTGTCCCGGTCAATGAGTGCGGATCCGTCAGTCCACATCACTAAAGTGTTCTTATCAAAGATAAGATCGAAGGTGCGGGGAGTCCAGGTGTCTTTGATCCACGCTCTGAACTGCTTGCTGATTTTTCCCTCCTTCTTTTTCGGAGGAGGGTCGTCATGCTTCTTGTGCCGGTCTCGTTTGTCTCGGCTGAAGAACATCTTCTGGATTCGGTTGTCATCTAGATCAATGAGCCGGTCTCCAGGTCGACAAGCGTTGCTGTAGTGGGAGAACTCCTCATTACTTCGTTCAGCAATTTTTGCAAACGCCCTTAGCGGCGTGCGAGATGCCTTGCGGCTGCCCTCGATAAAGGGCATAACGACGTTGAGTTGGGAAGTAACCCATTCCTTGCCAAGGATCGCCTTTGTGGGGTGGCCCTCGCCTAATGTTCGAAGACGAAGCGCGTAGCGCTCCATGTATCGGGTGATATTTTCCTTTAGGGGGACTAGGCCCGCCAGTGATTCCATTGCTCCAATAGGCGTGGTGCGGAAACACCCCGTGATCCATCTGCAAGCGCGAGCTTGGGCGGTGTGAAATTCACGAAGAATCCACCCAATTCCTTTCCAGCCCGGCTTCCACCAGAGCTGCGCACCATAGCAAATGAGCGGAAGCACATGTGCTATGTATAGTTGTCTCTTTTGAGCCGGAGTGAATCCGCGGAGAGAATTACCCAGCATTGATATCGATGATACCGTGCTAGCCGCTTTGCATGCATAGAAGCGAACATGCGATTTGAATGACAACTTCGGGTCGAAGTAGAACCCGAGGTATCTCATAGACGCTGAGGGGACCACCCTGACGGTTTGGTTCCCAAGTGATACCACCACATCAGGCCCGAAGGGCCGGTCTGGTCGCCATGGGTCTCGGTGTTTCCAGAAATGGATACACTCGAGTTTGTCCGCTTCCGCAGATAGCCCAAGCCTGATAAGGTCGAGCATTAGGGCGTGGAATATGACCTGTATTGTGACACAGTTCAATTCTACTTGGGTAAGGTTGGATAGGTTCCGAGGAACTGCAGCCAAGATCCCTCCGTCGTCCACAAAGAATTGGATGGAAGAGTTACCCGGCATCGGTTTCCTGACCGGGTATTGCTTATGTAACACCGGGGCAATATAGAATCCCGATGCAACCGGTGACAGTGACGAGCCTTGTCCCATTCCTAGTGGAACAGCGGTTGCCTCCGTGACTTTGCCGTTGAATAGGTATTTAGTAAACCTTCCCACGAAGTAGTCGGCAAAGAAGTCACAGAGATCATCTGCAAAGCCTTGCTTTCTGAATATTTCCACCATCATTTTGTGATTGATGGAAGGGTAGAACTGTGACACGTCCAGCAGAAGCATGGACGGTGTCATGTTTCTGGCCCAGGCTTCGTGCACGAAGTGCACGACTTGCATGCCCGCATCAACCGTACTGTGTTCAACAGTACCGCCGAATTGGCATGGGTGTAAGATGCCGTACTTCTGGCCATCGAACTGCATACGCATTGCAAGAAGCTTTTCAAATAACTTCCCGAACACGCTGAGGAGGCATATTGGTCGATATGCTTTGGCTTTGCTATAATCTGGCTTATTAGGCTTGGGTATAACAACCGTGATGGACCTCTTAAAGACGTCAGGGAATTTGTGCAGTCGGATGCACGCGTTGTAGTATGCCTTGAAAAAGGAATAGACTTTAGATCCCCAGTTGATCGTGTTAATCACGTTCCCCTGTTTATCTTTTAATTCTTCAATCATGTGGAATATGCGTTTGCACCATTCCCAATTGACGTGATCTTCACCTCCGACTGATGTGTTAGACGTGTCAGCCAAATGTTCCGCAATCTCTTCCATGGAGATTTCATTAAAGGGACGCTTCTCGAATTGCTTGAACTCTTCGAGAATTGTCTCATCGACTTCCTTCGGGATGGAAGGAGTGAATTGCTCTCTAAACTCTGGAAACCAGGCATTCACACGGAGAGCTGGGGTAAATTCACGCGGAACGACTCTCACAGTGAGGCCAAGAGATATAGGATGCTGCTATGGCGACCGACGTCGAGCCGGGCCTCCGAGTCAGGCTTCCCGCTGCGTGAGTGGCTGGGCTGATGCTGGGTGCGCCTCACGCGACCCCGAGCACAAGCTGGACGATCTCCGCCACCGGGCCATGTGCGCGTCCGCCCGCTTGCTCGCTGTCAACGGCCTCCTATGCCCGATCCAGCCGCCTCGTCCCCGCCACCGCCTCTCCCCGCGCTCTCTCTTTCTCTCCCGCACTAGCTCCAGGTCTCCCGTCCTTTCCCCCCGTCGTGAGTCCCTGCTCTCCTCGATGTGCCCAGCACTAATCGCTCTGCTTGGACAACAGGGTAGCACGCGAAAGCACCGACGCGTCGCAGCGCATACCCGCGCACACATTCGTTCAATACCCCCCAGTCGCTCTTTCTTTTCTCCGATCCTCTCTCGGCCCTACGGATATGATGCACGCCTTCCGACAGCTCCTGTCGTTCGCTGCCCTCGTCACTTCCGTCTCGGCCGCCACCGCGGACCAGTGGAGAGGTCGCTCCATTTACCAGTACGTCTGAGCCATCATCCTCGAGACGCGAACTCTTTGCTGCATATACGCAAGCACAACGTGCCTCAGAGGCGGTAGTGTTGCAGGTCTAGCTTTCGGGACCTGAGACTAAGCTGTCCTCTGGGTGTATGCTGTGGGAGCGTCTGTCTGTACGTCGCGTCTCTGCTGTTCGGCCACTGAGATATCCCAAGGATCATCACCGACCGATATGCCTTGCCGGATGGCGCGGACCTCAACGCCTGCAACCCGAAGGACCAGACATGGTGCGGCGGGACGTGGACCACCATCCGGGAGAACCTAGATTACATCCAGGGCGCCGGTTTCACCGCCAGTAAGCCTGTCCCCCGCATCCGCACGCCACAGCTGACGAAGTGGAACCCGCGTTCGCGCAGTTTGGATCAGCCCGGTCTCGCAGAATTACGAGGGCCCGCGCACGGCATACGGCGATGCGTACCACGGCTACTGGATCGCCGACGTCACGAAGCTCAACGACCGCTTTGGCACTGCGGACGACCTCAAGGCGCTCTCGGACGAGCTCCACCGCCGCGGTATGTACCTTATGGTCGACGTCGTCGTCAACAACGTCATGGCCACCTCGACCACGCCCGACCTCTCAACGTTCCTCTTTCAGGACGAGGTGCGCTTGCTACTTGTACTCAGCGTCGCGCTGGCGGTGGATGCTGACGGAGGTTCCAGTCAAAATTCCATCCGTTCTGCCCGATTGACTGGAACAATGACACGAGCGTCATTGACTGCTGGCTGGGCGATACGACCGTCACCCTCCCGGACGTCAACACGCAGGATCCCGATGTCGTGTCCGCGTACCAGTCATGGATCACGGATCTCGTCAAGGAGTACAACATCGACGGGCTGCGTATTGATGGTAGGCTTCATTGCCGCCTCCGAGTCATTCCAATAGACAGCTGATCCTGTTCGTTTATCTAGCCGCTAAGTATGTCGTTACCACAGATGATTTGTGCTAAATGCTAACGGACGGGAACCCTTCGTGAAGGCACGTCAACCTTGACTTCTGGCCGAAGTTTTGCGGCTCTGCGGGCGTCTTCTGCATCGGCGAGGTGTTCGACGATGATATTGGGTAATTTCTCCCCGCACGCAAATTGAAAGCAGCTCATTGCATGATCTTCCACTAGACAAGCATCTCAGTACCAAGGCCCCGATGCCCTCGACTCCATCTTGAACTACCCGATCTACGACGCGCTCGTGAGCGCGTTCGCGATGCCCGGCACACAGAACATCAGCGCGCTCACGGACAAGGTTGCGCAGTCCCAGAAGATGTTCAAGGTAAGTGTCGCCTGATTATGGTGCTCGTGAACGGAACTCAAGGGGACTGTGTAGGACCCGACGCTGCTGGGTAACTTCCTTGAGGATCAGGACGTCCCTCGCTGGGCCAACCTGTCTGTCGACCCGCAGTCGCTGTACAATGCGATGGTGTACAATTGGATGTCCGACGGGTGAGTTGCTCCGTATAGCCCTTCGACACATGGGGCGTGACTGATTTTCCTGGATAGTATTCCCATCTTGTACTACGGCCAGGAGCAGGGCTTCCACGGTAACAGTGACCCATACAACCGTGAGCCGCTCTGGCCGTCTGGGTACGCGAACACGACTGCGTACCAGCTCACGAGCAAGCTCAACCGGGTTCGTGGTGTATGGTTTTCGCATAATATTTCGCGAACGCTGACACCGACGATGTTAGTTCCGCAACTTCCTCGTGAACGGCACGAGCAACTGGGCGTCGACGCAGATGGAGATCCTCACACAGAGCGACTATGGCCTCGGCTTCCGCAAGGGCGACGTCGTCACCATCCTGACGAACATCGGCTCCCCAGTGAGTGATTCGGTCGCCGCACGGCTGCGGTGAGCTAACTATGCACCGCCGATCTAGCCGAAGAACGTCACCATCAACGTCTACACACCTTGGGCAGCATCGACGTCCACGACCGAGTAAGCACGCCCTCGCTCGTCTCATCCCCTCGCAGCCGCAGCTGGCGCTGACACACCCCCTCGCAGGATCATCTCGTGCGAGAAATACGCCGTCGGGAGCAACGGCACCATCTTCATGGACTACAACAAGGGCGGCCGGCCCGCGGTCTTCATGCCGGACCTGCTTCTCAACTCGTCGGGCGTGTGCGGGTTCGAGGGCCCGAACCAGTACGTCGAGCCGCCCGTCGTGGCGCAGGTCGCGAGCGGCGCAGCGAGCGTGCTCGGTCGGGGTGCGGTCATGGGCGCGTTGCTCGGCTTAGCGATCGGTGTTTGGGGCGTGGTGGGGTGGTGAGTAGGTTGGTGTGGAGTCATGCATTCGACGTTCAGATGTGTTTACGACAATTGACGCGGATGTTGGGTGTTGTAATTCCACGTTTTGGGTTCTCTGTGTTTCTTTGCCGGATTGTTCAATAGGATTGGATGTCGTCAGTAGGGATAGGATGGGTAGGAGGATAATTGGAAGAGTTATACACTGTGCCTGTAGGATAGTACATTACATGGGACATTATGGGTTCGGATTTTCGACTGGGTGCGTGATGTACATGTGCATAGGCTTCGCTGATTTGTGGCGTCGCTGTCGTGCTCATCTTGGTTCGCGTTGGTGCGTACGTCGATGTTCATGTTCGCACCCATCCATGCAAGTACACACGTATGATCATTGAAATATGGAAGTCGAGTAAATGTAAGGAACAGAAACCGTACAAGTCCATGTCAAGCGGCGAAAGCCAACGTTACGTGTAACATTTCAGACACTTTCCTCCTCGGAAACCCCCAGTATCTTCATGAATATGCTGAAGGACATCTTTTCCTCCCTCTCCATCTCCAACGACTCAATCTTGGCCCGCTTACGCTCCGATGTGGCGCGGTTGTTCCTAAGATTCTTGAGGCTGGACCAGTCATGCTCGATATCGTTGAATTCATACAAAAGGTTCATCAGCGGAGTGTTTTCGACGAGCAGCGGCTTGAGCGTATCGTGGGCTTGTTTCACGACGTCGCGACGAACGTCTTCGTCGGAGAGAAAGTCATGTTTGTTGTGTCCGATTTCGACGAGAGAAGCACACTGCCAATCCTTGATGTAGCCGAAGGCCTGCTCGTCTGGGTTATATGTCGCAGCAAAATAAATATAGGCGTAGAAGAACGACTCCAGGTCGTGCCGATACTTGTGGATGGGTGGGTCGCTCACGCGCAAGAGGTCCATCGCCATGAACGGGCCCGTGCCCGTGCGGTACCTTGGCTTGACTACGCGCTGGGAGTCTGTCGCCACGTTCGACGGAGCCGCGCCCTCCAGCTTTGGGGGCTGTTCCGTTGCTTGATCCTCGGCAGTGGCTCGCAACTCCGTCGTCGTCGCCTTCGCCACTGAATTTTCTTTCCAGTCTAGTGGCCAAGCCATCGCAGCGTTGTCGCCCGCACGACGATTGGTCCTAGAACCGCCCGAGCCCTGATCTTCTGCAAGGTCCCAGTCACACAACACGCCGACGACCCGTCCGTCCCGCTCGTACCACATGATGCTGTTGAGCTCAATGTTGCGGTGTAGCATCTGGTATTTCTCGTACACCAAGTGATGCGCTTGCAGATGATCAGACAGATGATACTAGTACACTGAGGCCGGCCACATACCACGAACAGCGTCAACAAACACGCAATGGAATCTACTCGCCGATCCAATGGTCTCCAGCGGTTCGTACTCCCTAATCATCAGTGTACGAGGGACTCTGGGAAGGCCATACTCGGCGCTGTTGCCGGCTGCATGGTGGGCTGTGGGTACGGCCATCTCTCCAGAGGAGCGGTCAGTTAGAAGTTGAGCGTAACAGTGAACGTTGACCGCAACAGTGGCCGCTATGTACGTAGCGCCCGCAGGGCGTCTCACGCCACACCCAGTTTCCCAATATAGCAGGTGTAGTGAATGGCCTCAGCGCTGTCGCGGCGCGGCTGCGCGAGTTCGAGAATCGACAGGCTGGTGGCAAGAGCTCAGCTAAGTATATGCTAATGCTGACTGAGGATGTGCCGAAAGTCGGTTTTTGTCTCATACAAGCGAGTCGTCTACCGTATTAACTTCGGCAGGCCTGTGGATAGCATGTGTATGAGTTCTCGTAGTCCCCTTCCAGGCGAGTCACTACCAAGTTTGCGCTCCATTTATCCTATTGCTTATGCGCTGAGTGTCCATGAATTAGCTTCGTCGGTGCTCTCTGTGTTTGCGGATGCTGCATGTCGGGTGACCGTAGCGACTCGGACGCGGGAAAGAACACGCGGTCTATTGGCACGAGCTTGACCGTCTCCCGAATTCGTGAGGCATGTTTCACATCATATCTCGCGAACGCTGACCCGCCGACGGCATGGGTACTGCAATTTCCCTGTGAACGGAACTGGGCATCGACGCAGATGGAGCTCCTCACGTAGATTGACGTCTCGGCTTCTGCAAGGGAGACGTCGTCACTATCCTGATGGAAATCGGTTCCCCAGTGAGTGATTTGGTCGCTGGACAGTTCTTTTGAGCTAACTCACTCTGCTCCGCCGACCACCGTCTACACACCTTGGACGGCGTCGACGTCCACGACCGAGTACGCGCGCCTTCCGACCCTTCAATTCCTCCCCTAGACACAGGCTCACCGGCCCCGCACACAGGATCGTCTCGTGCGAGAAGTACGCCATGGGGAACAACGGCACCGTCTTCAAGGACTACAACACGGGTGCGGTCTTCATGCCTGACTTGCTCTTCAACTCATCGGGCTTGTGCAAATTTCAATGGCGCGAACCAGCACGTCGAGTCCAGGGAAGTTAATGCGAGGAACAGGAACCATAAATGTACATGCCAAGCGGAAGCCAATGCTACGTGCAGACACACTCCTCCTCGGGAACCCCCAGTAACTCCATGAATATGCTAAAGGACATCTTTTCCTCCCTCTCCTTCTCCAGCGACTCAATCTTTGCCCGCTTACACTCCGGCGTCATCCTGGGGTTATTGACAAGATTCGTGATGATGGCCCTATCAGTCTCGATGTCGCCGAATTGATACAAAAGGTTCATCAGCGGAGTGCTTTCGGCCAGCAATGGCTTCAGGGTATCGTGGGCGGCTTTCGCGACGCGGCGACGAACTTGAGGCTCGAAGAGAAAGTCCCATTTGCGGTGGCCGATGTGGACGAGGGAACCACGCTGCCAATCCTCGATGTAGCCAAAGGCCTGCTTGTCTGGGTTGTATGTCGCAGCAAAGTAGATATAGGCGTAGAAGAACGACTCCAGGTCGTGCCGATACTTGTGGATGGGTGGGTCGCTCACGCGCAAGAGGTCCATCGCCATGAACGGGCCCGTGCCCGTGCGGTACCTTGGCTTGACTACGCACTGGGAGTCTGTCGCCATGTTCGACGGAGCCGCACTTTCCAGGTTTCGGGCCTGTTCCGTTGCTTGATCCTCGGCAGTGGCTCGCAACTCCGTCGTCGTCGACTTCGCGACTGAATTTTCTTTACGTTCTACTGCCCAAACCACCGCAGCGTCGTCGCACGCACGATGGTTACTCCTATGCCCGCCCGTGCCCTTGTTTTCCGCAAGGTCCCAGTCACACAACACGCCGACGACCCGTCCGTCCTGCTCATACCACATGATGCTGTTGAGCTCAATGTTGCGGTGTAGCATCTGGTATCTCTCGTACACCCAGTGATGCGCTTGCAGGTATGATCAGACAGAGACCATACTAGTACATTGAGGCCGGCCACATACCACGAACAGCATCAACAAAGACGCTATGGAATCCTTGCGCCGATCCAATGGTCTCCAGCGGTTCGTATCCCCTCATTATCAGTGTACGAGAGACTCTGGGAAGGCAGTTTTCGGCACTGTCGCCTGTTGCATGGTTAAATCGGGGTAGAACCATATCTTCAGAGGATTGATCAGTTAGAGTCGAGTTGAACAGCAACAGCATGTAGCGCCCGCCGGGAGGAGCACGGAGCCACGCCTCCCGAGTCCCAATATAGTAGGTGTTGTGAACGGCCTCAGCCCTGTCGTGGCGCGCTGTGCGAGTTCGATAGCTGGCAGCAACTTGAGCGCAGCTATATGATGCCCAGAATGTGCGAAAAAACAAGTGTTGTCTCATAGCAAGCATAAGTCTCAGAGCTGTTCTCCTTGTGCGCCTCGGAACGTACTGGATAGCTCACGCCGGCGCACTGCCGCGCTCGTTCGGAAGCCTCAGAGTCGGCCACCCTATCCAGGTCGGTCATCACCAAGTTGCCTCTCCATTTATCCTATTGCCTACGCAATGAGTCTCGAAACAGCTTCGTTGCTGCGCTCGTCAGGCGCTTCTTCCTCGGCCGGGCTTTGTCGAGGCAGCCTTCAACCTCCCCGGTGTGCTCTTCCTCCTCTCCGACAAGTGGTATGCGCCCGCGGATCTCGGAGTGCACACCACCGTGCTCTCGTGCAGTCTCTTGATCAGCAACGGGCATCCTCGACGGCATGCAGGGCAATGCGGCGCCGGGCACAACCCGGGCAGCAACCTCTGGTCAATTGGTCCTGTGTATCGAGGGAATAGAACGACATTTACGCGCTCGCAATAACTTGAGCTCCACGTCGACTACCGTCACAACGGAATATCCAACTAACCTCACTCGACGAGAACAAGCTCTCTATCGATAACCTCGACCAGCCGCCACTCTGTTCGCGCAACCTCCATCATTATCGCCCATGCCTGACCTTCAGCCGCAGTACCTGCCTCGTCGAAACGGGGGCTCCCACAAACATCTCGCACGAAGCCCCACCCATCCGTCTTACCCACTGCTGCCTTGCGCATCTGCTCCGCCGTATGCAGCCACCCGTTCATCTCATCGTCGACGAGCTCCGGTAAGTTGTACGGGCCCGACAACTGGAGCTCTGAAGCGCGTCTGCGGAGGAGAGCGAGGCGGAAGATAGTGTAGGTGAGCATCTGGGACAGGTTCGTCTCGACAAACGTTGAGTGGTCGTCGAGGATGTCGTGGCCCCATGCTGGCAGGATCAGCGGCACCTAGATCAGTTGAGCCGTCTCCGTTCAGAAGGACGCCCAGCCGTCCGTCAGGTGCCTGCCGTACGACTGATTCGTGGGCCAGTGCATAAATGAGGCTGATGAAATCGAATGGCTGAGGGACAGGCGGGCATATTCTGTCCCAGAATTGTTGGCAGGCAAGGATCACGTGTGCCGCTACACCTTGTTCCCAAGAGGCCTGCTGGGTGCACAGGAGGGGAGGTAGCAGGATTCGAAGGCGTAAGACCAGTTCTTCTATAGCGAGTGGGACTGCGGCCTCAGCTTCAGCGCCGGCCATCTTCGTTCACCGGCTCCTTCGGGTCGAGTAGAAGTTGAGTTGTAAAATTCGCTGAACAGCTGTCGAAGGGGTAAAACAGCAGCGAGACTCACCTACTTCAAGCTACACGTAGCATCCAGTCCGCTGAATCTCCGGGGAGTTGTCCAGTGTGACCGTGTACACTTGACGTCTCCGGCTTGGCATGAATGTGACATAACTTACTGTGTGCCGTAGCTCTAGACCACAGTGCCCCAGACGGGACCGCAATCCCGAGAGTACGCCCATAGCATTATACGAGTCGTTAGTAAGTGTGTAGTGGTGTGGGACATTGTCAGTGGTACCGCGGTGACACGCCGCACTGGCCAGTGGTAGGAACGACCGAGATGGCGACCAGATTGCGATCAGACGGGCTCCTCCGGCCCGCGCCACTAGGAGATGCGTACGATTTAAATATTCCAAATCAAACTTCAAGCCTCTGTCTGCCGAAGCACCTTCAAGTCATGCAACGGTTGCAACCCGGAAGGGTATCTAATGCCCGCACCATTACTGAGGTCGACGCCTGAGATGTGTTATAGACGGTTTCACTCGATAAGGAGGGCGCTCACATCATCAGCGGCGGCGGTGGCCACGCCCTTACTGATATGCTAGTCCCAAAAGATTTTGGAGTCACATATCTATGCTTGTGATCCACCGTTGTCAGTCAAGAGGCAATGGGCCTGGTGTATAAAGGAGCACAGTCACGGGCAGGCATACATGGGCATACCTCCGATCCGCTGGTTATCTCTCGAAGCCACTTCCGTTCCCAGTATAGCAGGTGTAGTGAATGGCCAGCCGCTGTCAGCCCGAGCCAGGGTTGACTAGGACTACAGATGTTGTTTGGCGCCTTCACAGCCAGCCAGCCGCAGACAAAAAATCCTGGTAGCTGCAATGTTGGCCTCACCCTCGTTAGCCTCAAGTCTACATTATATAACGCCCAGGCGGCAAGCGTCGACACTCACATCAATCTTGTCTCGTTCCACAATAACCCCACTGGCGTATAACCTCAAGCATGGAAGCCTTCGCGTCCATTCTGCACCTCCTCGTTGGCTTCCTCCTCCTCGGTATCCTCATCGACATCGGCGGAGAGGTTGTCTGTATCGTACGCGCTACGCTGATCGTCATCTTGACGTACTTGGCCTCCTTCACCTTCGCCGACGTCCTGTGTCTCCTCTCCATTGTCGATCCTCAAGTCTTCGCGGTTGGTTCCGCGACACTCCCTCCGATGGTAATCGAAGACATTTCCACAGTCGCCGTCTACGAAGGTCCTCCCCGTTTCTCAGACCCTTCTGACTCGATTAAGGTAAGTCCAGTGGGATGCACGATATATTCCACTCACGCTCTCATTCTAGGCGCTGATCAACTTCCTCACCGTCACATCCCTCGTCAGCACCGTCGCAGGTGCTCGTAACGACAGCGGGCCGGAGACCAAGGTCATTGCTCCTGCCTTCAACCCGGTCGTGGTGGTTCAGTACCTCGACATCGTTGTCAGCCTCATCTCGCAGCAGGGATCCCTCCTTCCCGCTCATGCTCACCGCATGACAACCTTCATGGCTCCGCTCTTCATGGCTCCGTCACTCTACCTTGCGCGTGATCTCTCCCTCGAACTCACCCAAGAGCAGCACCTAGCCCTCGTCTCCATCTCGAAGTTCAGCCGCACACTCGGCGAGGGACATCTCAAGCTTGCTCTGCCACATCCTACCGCGAAGTCTGAGCCTGGTCCTCGCAGCCTTCCGTTCGACGTCAGCGCGCTCTTCCGCGGCCAGCCCCTCCCTATGCTCTCTGAAGAGGATCTCGAGTTCTGGTGGAACGGACGAACGACCGAGGCTGAGCAACCGATCGGTGGTCCAATCGACATGGGCGACCTCAACACTGTCTGCATCCCCGCGCGCACTGTTCCTGTCTCTGGGCCGTTCCCCAGCATCTCTGAGGCACGCATCGGTGTTCGTCCGCGACGCGAACTGCCTCCCCGTCCGTTCATACCTGCCCCCACCGCACCGGCCGCCGTTCTGGACGTGCTGTTCGCCGTCGTCCCTCATGCTCGTATGAGCGTCGTTCGCAGTCCGCACAAGGCCCCTCGCATCGCGGCGCGTCGTCAGCCCCAGATGCACACCGCCGGCGCACCTCAAGGCAGCTTCAAGTGGAGTACAAAGTCTGGCGTCCCGCTCATGGAGGCGTTGGGCGTTGGCTCGGTCAAGCTCGGCGTCGTGTACACGTTGCCTCAGTGACCATGAACGCATGGCCGTCTAGTCATTCTCGTCCTCATCGCTTCCGAGTCACGAGCACGTACGGTGGTCAGATATGATGAGCACGAGGACGGTTCGCGCGAAGGGCCTTGAGATGGACTATTTCTCGATGGGCTGCGCATAGAGGAAAATCAGCATGGACCTCATTGTATCAGTAGATCTGCGACTCGCCTTGTCGTCAGGTGGGCAAACTACATTTGTTTGGACACCTAGCCTGAGGTGTAGCCTGGTGACATACAAGATTATGCAGGACGAAAAGCGTGAGACCAACAGCACGCTGCGCCCGAGGTTGCAGTCTGCCATAGGCTTGTTACTTTTACGGGTCAGTCACGACGTTGACAGGGTTGAGCGCAGATGACCAGAGTGGTGGGAATTGGCGAGCTGCCCGCGTTAGGCTCAAAGACTGTGACGTAGTGCATCATTAGGATATATCGTGCGCGAGCCCAGTCTCTTTTGTTGCATCGCATGAAACAAGCCATATAAACACTCACATCGTGCATACTGTCGCCAACCCAGCCATAACGTTGAGGGCAGACACACCACTACTCCACGCTAGTTACTGCGAAGGAATGAACGACCGCTCTGCATAACACCATCACTTCAGTGGCTCGAGCCTCGTCTGTACTTCACCACTGCGAGGTCGTGCGAGGCTCATGCGATCTTCTCGGAAAGCGATGCAATTGCGAGCGACACGAATACAGTATTGAGACAACAACATGGAGAAGCCATAACCTCGATTACTTCTTCCCCGACCTGACTCATAATCAGCTGCGGTGCACCGAGACATTTTCGCACAGACGTACTTCTTGATACCCCCTCCAGGCGCACCGCCTGTCCACGTCAGCATCGGGTCACATCAGTCAGTGCACTGCTAACTCAGGTGCTGGTTGACTCACCCTTTGTAGCTGCAATGCAGGAGATCGCCACACATCAGTATGAGTAAACATCGAGGCATTCGGGAAAAGAACGTACCCTTATCCTTGGCTGCCTTCAGGGCGGACTCCTCCTGTTTCTTCTTCTGCTGGTATGCAAGATCGTCCTCGTCGAGCTCCTTCTTCTCCTTCTTCGGAGCCTGGACACGGTTCAGAAATCTTCAGTTGCACCCGGGAGGTGCACTTCGGCTCGAGGATCGCTCACCTTGAGTGGTTTGAGCTTTCCACCTGCTCGTGTAGCCATGATCGGTGGTGTGGGGTCGAATCGAAGCTTTCACTGAGACGCTTAGGCTGGATACAAGCTAGAGACCTGCAGTCTGAGTTGACCTGCAGGCTGGGTGGTTGGGGCTGCTCAGCCACACCGCCTCCGCGCTTTCCAATGGTGGTAGAGTCACGTGTACTAAACTGATTGGCTGGAATGTAGAAGAGTATGGTAGATAAGTTGATGGGTCCTTCAGAGGCGTTCAACCAGGTTCAACCCTACGGAACCACATATACGCTGAAAATCGGGTGCTCGTGCAAATTTCTGCCAAGAATGAACGGAAGCTCCGTTGGCTCACGCGGCATACTAACCAACACAAACCAGCGGGATTGTTCTCAGATTCTGGTCTCGTACCCATCCGTGTGGACGCACCCCACCACCACTCCGACACTAAGTAGTTCGCCGCTCAAGTCACATACTAGGAGCGGCTTCGGGCGGTCGGGCGGGCTCATGTCCGCCAAGTATCGCAGGCTCTCTACAGCGTGCCCTACGCTGCCCTACGCGTTCTCGCGGCAGCGCACCTATAGCAGCAGTAGTTGATATACACAGTAATCCAGGGACATGAGGACGCAACGGTGCTTTGAGAGCATAGACGCTCAATGCAGTTTGTGAAACAGTACTGCGTGTGCACACTCCGACGATCCCGGCTATCTCGGACCCAGCAAGGTATATAGCCAACGAGCTGCATGCACGATGAATAGCAAAACCCTCCCTTGGCCCAGATCCTAGCACAACCACAGGCCGTATGGCATCTGCTTTCCCGGCCATACCCGATCCAGCTACCAAGCTGGGTCACTACCGCCAGCTCGCCCCTCGCGCGGCGATCCATGTCTCCCCGCTCTGCCTCGGTGCAATGAGCATCGGCGATAAGTGGGAGAGCATCGGAATGGGTGCAATGAACAAGGAGCAATCGTTCAAGCTCTTGGACGCTTACTACGACGCAGGCGGAAATTTCATCGACACCGCTAGCAACTAGTAGGTCCCGACTTCCTGATCCAACCTTCCCAAGAAATGGAATATTGACGTAACTTTCTAGTCAAGACGGCTCTTCTGAGGAGTTCATCGGTGAGTGGGCGGAGGCCCGCGGCGTGCGCGACCAGCTGATCATCGCCACCAAGGTGAGTTATTGATTCTCCATCTTTGTGTGAATACAACGCTAATACTGCGAGAACAGTGGACCAACAACACCAAGCTGAGGGATGACACTGTGAAGCAAAAAGTGAATTGGTCGGGCAACAATGCAAAGAACCTCCGGCTCAGTGTCGAGGGTAGCCTGCAGCGGCTTCGGACAACCTACATCGACGTTTTGTACATGCATTACTGGGACAACCACACCACCGTCGAGGAGCTCATGGACAGCCTCCACAACCTCGTGGTCGAAGGCAAGGTCCTCTATCTCGTGAGTGCCCGCTGCCATCTAGAACACTGTTTATCGCACTCACACTCAGCTCCTCGTAGGGAGTCTCCGACACCCCCGCATGGTTCGTGACCAAAGCAAACGCCTACGCGAAGTCGCACGGAAAGACGCCCTTCGTCGTCTACCAAGCGGCCTACTCCATCCTGCAGCGTGACATCGAACGCGAGATCCTCCCGATGTGCAGGTACGAGGGCATCGCGCTCGCGCTCTTCGACGTCCTCGCTGGCGGACACATCCGCTCAGACGAAGAGGAAGAGCGCCGCCGCCAGACGGGCGAGGGTGGCCGGACCGTCATGAGTCCCTGGGAGCGCACGCCCGACGAGAAGAAAATGTGTGATGCACTGGAGGTCGTGCGTGAGCAGGTCGGAGCGAAAAACATCACCGCAGGTGAGCAGATGCGCGGGTCGCTTGAGTCGTGAGATGCTCATGAATTCATAGTCGCAATTGCATACGTGATGCACAAGGTCCCCTACACCTTCCCTATTGTAGGAGGGCGCAAGGTCGAGCACCTGCACGCAAACATCGAAGCACTGAGCATCAAGCTCACCACGGAGCAGATGACGTACCTCGAGGGCGTCCTGCCCTTTGAACCTGGATTTCCTCACTGGATCACTGTGAGTACCTACACCCTTGGGCGATGAATGTGTATGCCGATACGTTGTCTGACTCTTAGGGACCGTTGGGAGACTACCCATGGCTCCTGAAGAGGACCGCGAAGTTTGATCCTCAGCCGCTTGCGCCCCCGATTATCCCCTCTCAGTGAAGTCCCCGACAACGAAGTCATAACAGCACGACTCGGAGGCGTAACCTTCTGGATCTGTTGACAACCATGGCTCGTGTCGTACGTGTTGTGTGACAATGAATGGTGTTGGTGTCGGTTATCTTGCAGTGTGCCAACTTCTTTGAACTTGCAATGTACTCGTTAACGTCCATTCCGCGATTGCGTCATACCCATAAGTTACATGTTTGCCCACGGGTGGCTGACGAGGCGTTGCACTGTGACAAGTGCCTGGTACCGTACATCGGTATTCTCGTGCGACATGAGCTCCATAACACGCGTCTTGCCCCCAAGATCCGTGAATATCCTGTATCGCAGGGGACAATGGCTGTTAGCATGGTCATTCGGACTAGGAAAGTCGGTGCGACACAGACTTCTTTCCCCGCTCGTATTGCTTGACATATTGACCAACGTCGTGAGCAGCCACGGCAAGCACTACGGGATCATCTGACTCGTTCAAAAGTTTGATAAGAGTCCTAAGGGGGCAATAATGAGTGGCCCCGAAGTACAACGTATGGACAATGCTCACTTGAGTTGCGCATAGTCCTTGTCATTGAGCTTGGTGGCGTTCTCCTTCCAGAACAGCTCGGACTCGTGTACGGGCGTCCACGACAGATGACCCGAGATAAGTTCTGAGCTGTACTCGTCGTAGGTGCTGACAGAAAGATTGAATTGTAGGGTCACAGTGTACGGAGCAGTCAATGACTTACGTTAAGCTGTCGAATCGTGCATTCAGCTCATCTCGGATGTACTGGACGTCCTCAAGGATGTCTTCGTCTGACCACTTTCGTGTACACAGGTTCTTCGCGAATGGAAGCAATTGGGCGACGAGCATGGCGGGGAGGTTCGCGGCGGGTGCCTTGGAGATGAGATTCTGAGAGCGAAGTATAAGTGGGCGATGCTGATTGACCGAGCAGAAAAGCACTCAACGCGGAAAGTGGCGACAACGACGCGGACGACCTTCTCCTTGGCAGCATTCTGAGCGACGTCTGTCAGAAGAGGTACGATGTCGTACTTGCTGCACACGCGCATCCTCAGCTAGGGTTAGGGTTATGATGCTCTGGGCGCACGCACTTCTGGATCTGCTCGGCAACCTCTTGCTCGAACGTCAGCAGCCATAGACAGAATCCGACTTGGTAGCTCATTTGGGCATTGGGGTTGTGCCTCAGGATATCAATCAACCTTTTTCGCGTCGTAAGTCGCATACAGGCAACGCGACAACAGAAACGCTCACCCCGCTATAAGCGTCGGGTTTGCCCAGACAGCTTTGCGGCACTCGGGACGGGGAAGGACTGCTTCCAGGCACTGCACTGCGATATCTCGCTTGTGCGGACCCGAGCCAATGAAGGCCGCAAGCGTGTTCAGGAACGGCTTGAGCTGTTCAGTGGGTATAGGTGTAGACTCGGAACTGTCTTGAGGTCAGTGAGGGATCGCCAGACCAGACATTGAGGACGTCACCTGAGAAGGACAGTCATGATCTGTGTCGTCTTCAACTGCACAAAGTCGTCCTGAGAATCGAGGAGCCTACTGCGCCCTCAGTATCTTGCATGGAGAGACGTGACACAAGCTGCGCACCGGGATAGTGCACCATATGGCAGTTCGGGGTCCACTTCTCGTGTCCTAGTGAACAGCGGTATCCGCTCATCGTGGTCTGCAGACATTGGTCCAATGAAGACGATGCACTCTCAGAACTAGTACACACACCTGCGATGGCATCCGTGATGAGCACCAGGATACACTGCTGCGTGTCTGTTCTCTGCAGCTTCTTGAGCAGCCTCAGGAATAGCAAGGCATACGACGGGCCATCCGACAGAAACACGGAGTCGATCTTCGCCCTCGGTTGTCTGTCCACCTTCTTGATGAGGCCCAACTCTTCACTAGTAATCAAGTCCGCGCGTTGGTATCCCTGTAATCGCACTTGCGTCAGGGACACTCCTCATGCGCGGGCACATACACAGCCACCACATACCTCCCATGGCACGGGCTTCGCTCTCACTTTCGCGGAGCTTTCGTCTAGGTACACGTTCGAGACGAGGGGTATGGACATGACAACGACCGGGCGGGCGTAGTGGTCGCGGACAGTGGACGACGAACTGAGCCTCAATCCCGTCGCCGAGAGCCGCGCTAGGCGCCCACTGTGACGCCGCGGCACGTGGCTCGTATAGAGCTCTCCGACATTTTGAAACTTCGCACCAGCGTCCAGCTCACCTCTTGCCATGTGGTCACGAAATGCTCTCGCCTGCTGCTCAAAGCAGTCAAGAGGTATGATCATGTCTTGTGAAGCTACACCGGTACTGAATGGCAACAATTGCCAGCAGCATGCGCGCAGCTTCGCTCGCGCACGCTCGCGACGGTGACGGACGCCGCTGGACCGTCCTCCGCTCCCACTAGCACGCCAAAAGCCTCACCTTCGCGCTCGTCTAAAGCGAGCATTCAAGCCGCTGTAGTCCTCAATCGTTCACCCATCATCACCCGAACGCCGAACCCCCTCGAACGCGCCTACTACGCCTACCAATCCCGCATCCAGCGGGCGCTCTTCAACCCCTTCCCGGACGAGTTCTACTTCAGGCCCGGCTCGATCCTCGAGGGTCAGTTTAATGCGGAAGAGAAACAACGTGAAAAGCTTGCGTTCGGCGGCCCGAGTGTGAAGGAGAAGCCCATTCAGACTTTGGTGGACTCGGACGATCAGGTCGGGAAGCAGCAGCAGCAGCCCATGCCGAGGATCCATGAAGCCGACATCAAGGGGGATGTCCGGAGCCTTGACAGGCAAATGGAGCGGAACCTCTATCTATTGGTGCATGGCAAGGACTCGGCGGGGAAAGACGTGTGGAGGTTCCCGCAGGGAGGCGTTGAGGAGGGCCAGGCATTGCACCAGGTACGTAGCGATGCCTCGAATACGTACGCTGCGGGCTTCTCATGCCTATTACCCGTCAAGGCCGCTGAGCGAGATCTCTACGCCGAGTGCGGCGAGGATATGGACACATGGGTTGTAAGCCGAAAGCCAATAGGTGTGATGGAGCCATCAAGTGCGAGTGCATCGTCACCACAGGTCAGTACCCACCCTGATACTGTATTTGCCTCTTGCTCACTATACCCGCTGTAGGCATATGTGTTCTTCTACAAGGCGCACATCCTTGCCGGTCAGGCAACGCCCAACGGCAAGACCGTAAAGGACCTCGCATGGCTCACAAAAGAGGAGATCGAATCTCGGGTAGACCAGCAGTACTGGGCTTCGGTGAAGGATATGCTATCAGACTCCTAATGTACCTGCATCTACTCTACTTTGCTACCCAGGGTTTAGAGCATCGCTGTCGCGAAGCGTGGTTGAACAGACTGAACGCAGCTATATTGCTCGACGCGATGATAATACTACGAGACAATGGTCGTACTACCGTGGCCCAGTGATCGCCTTCCGCTGTGCATTCTTCTGTGCGTCGTCGAACTTCCTCACGGTGACCTCGCACTTGGTCGTCTTGCAAATGTGCTTTGAGTTCTTCTTGATCGCGTCCGAGAAGAGCGTGAGCCCCGCGGCCTTTTCCACCGCCTCGACTGCGAAGCGATGAACCCGTCAATATCTTGTATGTCGCGGCGCATCTCACGAATCACTCACTGGGGACGACGAAGCTCTCCAGCTTAGCCTCGTCCGGGATGACTGCGTTTGGGAGCACGAAGGCGCCGGTCGAGATCTCTGGAACGTCCGGTGTGGAGGGCGAAGATGGCTTTGCTGTGAGGACTACCTTTGCGAAGTGGGTTGGTACGGAGACGTTCGGCGGGGAGCCGATAACTTCATGCGTCTATATAAAGATCAACTCAGCGGCGTCCTAAGAGCAGGGAGAACCCGTGCGTACAATCCGCCACTTGCCGTCGGAGTCGAGTTTGGGCAGGTAGAGTGGGATGGTGAAGACGTAGACGTCCGCGAATGTAGAGGTCAGACGACGACACCAGTCTTCTACGTATGCCCAGTCTGGAAAGGATGCGCGTCAGCGGGTCGTCTCACCCAGAACGTGCGGTACGCGTCTTACAATGTCTGTTGAACCCTACGCCCACTTGAGGAGCAATGTTGGTCAGGAGGAAGGTCTCGTTCATTGCAGCCTACAAACGAGCTCTACATTGAGTGAACTTGTAGGGAGCACAGAGCACCTACCTGAGAGAGTTTGCAGTCTGCTGCCGGCACCCTAATGATATATATTAATCAGTCCGCCATAGCTCGGATTGCCGCACAATCGAGTAATGTATGGCACAGCCACCTACATATGTCCCCGGTCATACCCGCTCCTGAAGTAGTCCTGCAGCTTCGCGCGGAACATCGCAGGTATTGACTGGTCTTCCGTGAAATGAGAGTTTTGGCGGTCGCCCTTCTCGTCAGAAGAAGCTGAGGCGAGTGCTGACTTTCCAAGAGATGCTAGTGTCAGATGTTCGGCCGCCTGAAGCGGTTGGACTCGACCCTCAGCAAGTGTGTACGAGTGCATGGTACTGTACTCACCCAAGCGGGATGGCGTAGTCGGCGGTCATATCCTGCAGCGTAGGCTATCCGAACCAACTGGTCGGAGATAGGACCTGAGGGATCATATCCAAAAGGTGCTCAAGTTTACTCATACAACTGTTATTACGTACCAGGGTTCCCGTACTTCAGCACGCTTACAGGCGTTGCAGCCTGAGGAGAGATCTGGGTCACTCCCCCAGGCGTCACGTCAACCACAGGCGGGGAAATTATGGGCGCTGTCGCCGGGACCGATGCAACGGGGATTTGGTGACGCTGCCTGCGCGCAGATACAGCAGACACGACACCGCCGCCGACAAGCGCGCCGACGGCGAAGGCGGCTGCGTGTACGATCGTCGCACCAGGCATTTTGAGGGGCGCCAGAGTTGTCGAGTACGATGAGCAACAGGAAGAACTTTCTGAATGAAGCCTTTCACCAGGCAGCGATACCGATGCTGGCCCGGGGTAGGATCGAAGTTGGCGTTGCAGCCTGAGGTTGTGGCGGAAAACTGGCGCTGTGGCCACGGCAGCGCCGACGCCGACGCGTCCGCCGTCCGACGCGTTCCGCGACGCGTACACGTGCGTGTACTAGTATCATAGCACCGTCGTGTGATACATACTTACATCCGATGCAGGTCGAAATTCGAAACGTCGATGGCGTCGATTGGGCGTCGCCCCAGCTACGGAGTTCAAAGTTAAATATTTTGACAGAGACTACTGGATTGAACGCGGTTGTACTAGCAGACCGTCGAGTGCAACCTAGTAAGTCACGAAGAAGCGAAGACTGTAGTCAACACAAAACAACGTTGTGCTGAAGATGAGGTTCTAATCGCATCATCCGCAAGTTGAAGTCAGAGCCAATGTACAACGTCAAGCAGAGCTAAGGGAGTCATCGGCCGATGCCAGTGCGCGAAGTTTGTGGGAGCTCTCGTTTCGAGAAGGCAGGTACTGCGGAGGAAGGCCAGGCATGGGCGACAATGATGGAGGTTGCACGAACATCGGAGTGGCGGCTGGTCGAGGGTGCCGCCGATAGGAGGAGGAGAGCATTGAGCAAGTTGTTCAAGTTCTCGTCGAGGGAGATTAGTTCGATATGCCGTCGTTACAGTAGTCGACGTATAGTTCAAGCTAATGCGAGAGCACGAATGCCGTTGTATTTCCTCGACGCACGGCACCCGGAGACTGCTGACTCCAACCGTGGCCGTCTTGCGTACGACACGCTACTTTGAAACTGTCTCAAGGTTGTGGCCGCATGTGCACTTCCCAGCCTATGAGATGCCTTGAATATGGCATACTGACGCAAGCGTCCTCAATGAGGCAGTCGGACACTCACGTTGAGACAATGCAGCGCTGCCATGGCACTGCAGCCTCACAGATTTGGACATTGCCTATGTCCGGACATGTCGAGGCGCAGATCTGAGATCTATGGCTGAGCCGTTAGACGCCCGAGGTGAGTGGCCAACGTTCCAACCCTGGTCCAACCGCCCTGGCCTGCACTCAGCACCGCTTGCTGCGAACAAGTCACTCAAGCAGCAACACATGCAGAGACTGGCTGCGCCAGGTCTCTGACAGAACGAAGGCATCGAGCAGGCTCTTCGGCGGGGCGGGGACCTAGGTTGCACCTTCCCACGGTGCCATCACTGATCAGTGTGGCTGCTTGCATTGTCTCCCCGATTTGGCAAGCGCTGCTGAACTTGTACGTCCACGTCCACGACGGGCGCCGCGGTGCGTTGTTCTCTGTGACTCACCGGCCACACCGCTGAGTCTGAATTCGGGCAGCCACACTCTAGCACACTCTTCACTCACCACGCGTACGCGTGTATATAGACATGGACGCGCCCCAGGTACAATGTGGTCCGTTCCCACTCGCAGGCATCTGGCCACAACTCTCCCTCCGCGCAGAGCCGCCACACCACCCTCGGGCGTTCGTCATCGTCCAGGATAGATCACTAGAGCTTTCTTCACTTCGGCTCTTCGCCCGCTCAACGATGGGTAGTAAACAGTCCGAGTCTGCATTGCCCAGGACACCGTCGAAAGGGAAGGAGAAACAAACAGAGCGTAAGTGAGGTATCTTGGCCGTACTGATCCTTGCACTCACTGTGTTCATTGCAGCAGAAACGCAGATCACCGCCACGCCGGCTAGAGGCAGTCCTTACCATGTACTTCAGACGGCCACTCGCCCTGGTAACAAGATACTCTCGGACGATCACCAGCATTACATTCAGGGCGCATACAACAGTGATGTCAGTTTAAGTGCATCTACTTTCATTCATTAATGAATTAAACCCTGGATCTGATTTACACACTTTTGTACCCCTGTTAATCTAATCCTAATTCAATGCAGTCTTAATCCATTGCTCAGCTCATATGCCTAATCCTGGTGTATTACAGAGGTCTCTTGATGCACTCTTAATGCACTGCTGATCCACTTATGATGCACTGACTTAAGACATGCTTGATCTCAGTGTATTACAGGGGTACCTTAATACACTATTGATCCACTAAAGATGCATTGGCCAAGTCAGTGTATTACATGTTTAAGGCATACATGTATGCAGTTCTAAGCCGCTGGATTAGTTTTAGATCAAGGCAAAAAATAAAAAAGCGGCCATATGGGGTTTGAACCACAGACATTAGAAAGCATTACGTAATCACATCATCAAATCGGACCACAGGAACACTAACCACTGCACCACAGGTCTGTTAGAAATGTTGTAACACAATGTTATATGTCACATTGCTGGCATGCTGGACTTAGACATATTTTGGATGCTGGCACAGGGTGCCCTGCATTAGTGGTGGATCAATAGGTGTGTTAGCAGTGAATTGACACAGTGTGGTAACAGTGAATTAGCAGTGACTTGACACAGTGTGTTGACAGTGGATTAGCAGTGAATTGACAAAGTGTATTAGTGCTAGCCCAACATGTGACTCAAAAGTGACTTTAACCTTTGACCTAACGAATTTGACATCTAGCATCCATTGTCAGTTGAGTCACTATTGAGTCACCTGTCTGGCTAACATTAATACACTATGTTAATTCATCACTGATTCACATGTTGGACTAGCACTGATACAATATGTCAATTCACTGCTAATCCACTGTCAACACACTGTGTCAAGTCACTGCTAATTCACTGTTACCACACTGTGTCAATTCACTGCTAACACACCTATTGATCCACCACTAATGCAGGGCACCCTGTGCCAGCATCCAAAATATGTCTAAGTCCAGCATGCCAGCAATGTGACATATAACATTGTGTTACAACATTTCTAACAGACCTGTGGTGCAGTGGTTAGTGTTCCTGTGGTCCGATTTGATGATGTGATTACGTAATGCTTTCTAATGTCTGTGGTTCAAACCCCATATGGCCGCTTTTTTATTTTTTGCCTTGATCTAAAACTAATCCAGCGGCTTAGAACTGCATACATGTATGCCTTAAACATGTAATACACTGACTTGGCCAATGCATCTTTAGTGGATCAATAGTGTATTAAGGTACCCCTGTAATACACTGAGATCAAGCATGTCTTAAGTCAGTGCATCATAAGTGGATCAGCAGTGCATTAAGAGTGCATCAAGAGACCTCTGTAATACACCAGGATTAGGCATATGAGCTGAGCAATGGATTAAGACTGCATTGAATTAGGATTAGATTAACAGGGGTACAAAAGTGTGTAAATCAGATCCAGGGTTTAATTCATTAATGAATGAAAGTAGATGCACTTAAACTGACAAAGATGCATACAAAGACTACACTCACTGGGACGTTGATGTCGAGGACTTTGTTCGTGCGGTATTCGGCTGCCAGTGGACCGACATTGAGGCCTTGCGGGAGCCCTATCGTGACCCATCGAACACGAAGGATATCCCCCCCGAGAAGTACTTTATATCCAAGGTCGAACTCAAGAAATACTGGGAGGGTAACGAGAGGAATGGTTATGAGCCGTTCGCTCGTGCAGGGGACGCGCTTCTGGAGGAGCTATATGGCCCGCATTCGACCGGCAAAGCTCCCGACGAGAGCCTTGTGGCTAGACGTCAAGCCCTCCAGCGGCGATGGGCCAACAACTCTTCGCGCAACGGTCAAGTTATGCGCCCCTGGCCAGCAAGGTTCGAGATCCGGGATGTCAAGGTGGTGGGCAACTTCGGTATTGATGAAAAGCCGGACCTTGCGTACAGCACGACGGCCGGCAGACCCTTCTGGGAGTGGGAGCTGGTTTCGATGGAGTTCAAAATGGAAGGGAAGACGGGTGCGAAACGCAAGGAAATCATAGATTCTCTGAGCGATATACTGCTTCGCTGGGACGAGAAACAGAAGACGTTTGTTGTGGAGGTGTGTTCTCTTTTTGTGCTCTTGCGTGCGAGTCGCGCGACTGGGATCTCATTGACCCCCTCCCCAGATGCCTGATCGTCGTGGCCAGGCAAAGGGGAAATCGTCCAAAGCCGCTCGCGACGATGATGCAGATTACGTTCCTGGGAAGCAGCCCAAGCAGACGAAGAAGAAAGGCCAGTCGTCGACATCGTCGAGCAGCAAGCGAAAGCGAGAAGCCGAAGAGGCTCTGAATACCAAGAGCAAGCGCAGCAAGAACCAGCCCGACTCGGAGTCGCCTTCTGCTGCCTCTGAAGGGTCAAAGATAATCGGCAAACAGGCGCAGGTGGTGAAATACATGAATCAGGTGATGTCCCACAACGTACGCTCGTATACGATCGCATGGCTGGTTGACTCCGGCACGCTGAGGCTCGTCTATGGCGACCGAATGGGAATCATCTTCACGAAGCCGATCGATTTTCTGGACAAGGACGCGAGCTTGCTCTTGCTGATTCTCGCCGCCATGGGGACCGCCGATGTGCACGACCTGGGGATTCACCCGTGCGTCCACTACCCGAAGGATGCGCACGGGCACGACCAGTTCTGTCTGGACAACGGGTATCGAGGCTCGAAGCTTCGACTTGCCGTCGAACTTGACGAGGGGACCACCGTCGATGTCGAGTTCAATCTCGATGTCAGCGAGAGCAACATGAGGGACATGCACCGGGCGAAGAAGGAGAAGAAGAAGACTGCAACGAGCGGTGCACAGCGAGCGAGCCGGGGAGCCTCGGAGACGGTGGAGGGAGCACTGGAAGACTCGGAGTCGAGCCAACGCCGCGCGATCTACACCGAGTTTGGCATGATCGGACGAGGGACGACGGTCATTCCCGTGGTTGCGGCGCCCGGCACGAAGACGGAAGAGCTGTTCGGATCGGAGGCTCTTGTTGCCAAAGTGGCCTGGCCGCACGCTGTCCGGAAGGCCGAGGACGCGATGATCAAGGCCGTTCGCAGACGTCTGGCGGAGAGCAAGCCGAACTACTTGAAGCACATCGTGGACCTCAAGTGTTCGATGACGAAGAGCGGAGACTCGGAAGAGATGCACCTCCCTCGTTTCAAGTTGGGCGTTGTTCCTGGGGCAGATGAGCTACGAGTCTGCCGCATTCTGGTCCTCAAGGAGTACGAGCCCCTGGAGACCATCGGATCCGGAGATAACTTCCGCATCGTGTTCTTTGATGTCGTTCGTGGTACGTGCATAGTGAACATCGAGTCTTAGCTTCGTCTGACTGTGACTACAGCTCATCACTGGGTGTACGAGACGTCGAAGATCCTGCATCGTGATATAAGCCTCAACAACATCATGTGGTATCGACTGCCAGACGGGCGGATCATCGGTGTTCTTTGCGACTGGGACCTTGCGGAAGACCAGAGTACGGGCGAGTACAGACCCACTCGTCGTGCTGGTGACGCTGCTGCAGTGATATGGCCGCCAGACCCAGAACCAGCCGCGCAGTCGACGACGAAACCGAGTCTGCCTTCCATCGCCGAGGGTGAAGCAACGGAACAGCCCCAAAATCTGGAGGGCGCGGGACCGTCGAACACGGCGACAGAGCCCCAGGCCGTAGTCAAGCCAAGGTACCGCACGGGTACGGGCCCGTTTATGGCATTGGACCTCTTGCGCGAGGGCGACCCACCTATCCACAAGTATCGGCACGACCTGGAGTCGTTCTTCTACGGCTATATCTATTTTGCTGCGGCATACAACCCAGACGAGCAGGCCTTCGGCTACATCAAAGAATGGCAGCGTGCTTCCCTCGTCGACATCGGACACAGCAAAGGGGACTTCCTCCGTGAGGAAAAAGTTCGCACCCGCGTCATGAAACCTGCCCACGATACTCTGAAGCCGCTGCTGGCCGACGACGAGGCTCCCCTGATGGAACTCTTGTATCGATTCTGCGAGATAGAGAATGATTGGCACAACATCAACGCTCTCGGACTTAGTCGCAAGTTGTTGGCGCGCAACCGGGCCAAGATCGAGGAGATAGAGAAGGAGAGGGAGGCAAAGATGTCGTTTAGCATATTCATGGAGCTGCTGGGGGTTCCCGAAGAAGAGGGTGTCTGAAACGTTACGTGTAGCGTTGGCTTCCGCTTGGCATGTATTTATGGTTCCTGTTCCTCACATTCACTCCCCTGGACTCGACTTTCGTATTTGAATGATCATACGTGTGTACTTGCATTGGTGGGTGCGAACATGAACATCGACATATACAGCATCAGAGACGAGCGGAGGCGTGCTTACTTGGTCGTGGACGTCAACGTAGCCCAAGGTTTGTAGGCGGTGAAGGTGACGTTCTTCGCCGGCTAGATCGGCGGGGCAGAGTTAGCTCAACAGAACTGTGCGGCGACCGATATTCGTCAGAATAGTGACGACGTCGCCCTTGCGGAAGCTGAGCACACAGTCGCTCTGCGTGGCCATCTCCATCTGCGTCGACGCCCCATTTACGAGGATATTGCAGCACTGTTATTGTCAGGGGGTCAACGTTCGCGAATATGATGCAGAACATGCGCCACGAATTCGGGAGACGGCCAAGCTCGTGCCAATAGCCCGCGTGTCCTTTCCGGCGTCGCCACGGTCATCCGACCCGCAAACGCAGAGCCTGTACCGCGCGGGATGCTTTACTAAGAGACAGTGAGTAGCAATACCGAACTTGAAGACATGGAAAGTGTACGTATAGTCCCCATATGTACCACAGCGTCACACAGAGCGTCGGGGATCACGCGTTAAACTGAAAGCGCGACGACCAGGCTTGTGAGCGCGAGCACGAGGCTCCATACCTTCCCGTTCGCGAGCGCGAGCCAGAGGCCCGCCCGCGTCCGCACCCGGGTCAGCATCGGGTGAGCTGGTATCCTTGCGTATGCGCGGCGCGTCCGAAGTCGCACCTCGGCCGAGGTGAGCCAGCGCGGCCATGTGCTCGGGCTGGACGGAAAGTTGGGGAGGACGAAGAGTGTGCACTTAGGGCACAGACTCCGAGACAGAGGAGATCGTGAGCGCGCGCACAACGATTCTGAAGACCCACCTGCCATCACAAGTCCGTCAGTGCGCGCGACCTATTGCAGTCTCGAATTCTTCGGTACGCACGAGCGCAATGCATTTGAAAAGTACGGAAGGTCGCAAAATCACCTGTCACAGGTGGGTTTGGTGTACGCATATGCATATGTTCGCCGAGTCTCAGACGTCCGTGTCAGGGTGAGTGTCAGCTCTGAGTAACCGAGTCCGATTCGGACGCTAGCGCTGTTATATCGCCAAGGGTCATTATTGGTTTCACCGACTCCCTGAGGACCCAGGAGGTTTGAGACCAGGACTGATGGATATGCCACCGCAAGGGGCGTGGCTTGCCGCACAACGTGCTTTACTAAGAGACAGTGAATAGGGAGGTCGAATTCCAAGAGATGGAAGGTGTATGTACAGAGTCCCCATGCCCCATCATCACACAGAGCGTCGGGAAGAACGGGTTGCACTGAGAGCGAGAGCACGGTGATCCACACCTTCCCGTCCGCGACCACGAGCCAGAGGCCCGCTGTCCGCTCACGCCAGCACCCGTGTCTGCGTCGGGCGAGCCCGCGTATGCGCGGCACGACCAGTCGCATCCTGGCCGAGGTGAACCAGCGCGATCGTGTGCTCGGGCTGGACGGAAAGCTGGGAATAGTACGAAGAGTGCGCACCTAGGCCACAGAAGAGACCGCGAGCACGTCCTCAATGAAGAAGACCCACCTGCCATCACAAGCTATCACAAGTCAGTCAGTGCGCGCGAGACGGTAAAGGACGATCAATGAGACGCGCGTGTTGCTGATGCCAGTGAGGAACCCGCACAACACTGGGGAAATGGGTGTGGCCGCAGCCACCAAGCAGCCACTGTGGCTTCGTGAGACGCCCTGCGGGCGCTACGTACTTAGGCTGTTGCCGCGTTGCGGTACTGTTGCGGCTAACGCTCAACCTCTAACTGACCATTCCTCTGGAGAGATGGCCGTACCCCGAGCCCACCATGCAGCCGGAAGCACCGCCGAATATGACCTTCCCAGAGTCTCTCGTAAACTGATGACTAGGGGATATCAACCGCTGGAGACCATTGGATCGGCGCAAAGATTCCATAGCGTGTTTGTTGACGCTGTTCGTGGTATGTGGCCGGCCTCAGTGTACTAGTATCTGTCTGATCATCTGCAAGCGCATCACTGGGTGTACGAGAAATACCACATGCTACACTGCAACATTGAGCTCAACAGCATCATGTGGTACGAGCGGGACGGACGGGTCGTCGGCGCGTTGTGTGACTGGGACCTCGCAGAAGATCAGGGCTCGGGCGGTTCTAGGACCAATCGTCGTGCGGGCGACAACGCTGCGATGGTTCGGCCACTAGACTGGAAAGAAAATTCAGTGGCGAAGGCGACGACGACGGAGTTGCAAGCCACTGCCGAGGATCAAGCAACGGAACAGCCCCCAAAGCTGGAGGGCGCGGCTCCGTCGAACGTGGCGACAGACTCCCAGTGCGTAGTCAAGCCAAGGTACCGCACGGGCACGGGCCCGTTTATGGCGATGGACCTCTTGCGCGTGAGCGACCCACCCATCCACAAGTATCGGCACGACCTGGAATCGTTCTTCTACGCCTATATCTACTTTGCTGCGACATACAACCCAGACGAGCAGGCCTTCGGCCACATCAAGGATTGGCAGCGTGCTTCCCTCGCTGGCATCGGGGACAACAAACGGAGTTTTCTAGAAGAAGAATCAATTCGTCGCGACGTAATGAAAGCCGCCCATTATACTCTGAAACCGCTGCTGGACAAAGGCACTCCACTGATGAAGCTTTTGGAGGAATTCAACGAGATCGAGCTTGACTGGCACATCATCAAGGTTCTTGGAAGTAAATCCGCTCCATCGGAGCGTACACGGGCCAAATTTGAGTCGCTGGAGCAGGAGCGGGAGGAAAAGATGTCTTTTAGCATATTCATGAAGTTACTGGGGGTTCCCGAGGAGAGTTTCTGAAATGTTACACGTAGCGTTGGCTTCCGCCGCTTGGCATGGACTTGTATGGTTCCTGTTCCTCACATTTACTCCCCTAGACTGGACTTCCATATTTAAATGATCATACGTGTGTATTTGCATGGGTCGGTGCGAACATGAACATTGGAACAAAACCAGATATATACACCAACGTGAACCAACGTGAACACGACAGCGATGTCAGAACTCATAGCGAAGCCTATGCACAAGTACGTCACACGCCCAGTTGAGGATCCGAACCCATAATGTCCCACGTAATGTACTATGTATCTTACAGGTACAGTGCACAACGCTTCCACATATACTTCTACCCATCCCGTCGCTACTGACGACATCCAGGCCTATTGAACAATCCGGCAAACAGACACAGAAAACCCTAACGTGGAATGACCACTGAACATCCCCGTCAATGTTGTCAACACGTCTGAACGTCCACCGCCGCATGACACCACACCCAGCCTCGCACACGTGAACGACCTACACCGCGCCACCACGCCCCAAACACCCATCACCAAGCCGAGCAACGCACCGCTGACCGCGCCCCGACCGAGCACGCTTGCGACGCCGCTCGCGACCTGCGCCACGACGGGCGGCTCGACGTACTGGTTCGGGCCCTCGAACCTGCAACACGCCCGACGAGTTGAGGAGCAGGTCCGGCATGAAGACCGCGGGCCGACCGCTCGTGATAGTCCGTGAGATGGTGCCGTTGCTCCCGACGAGGTATTTCTCGCGCGAAATGATCCTGCGAGGGGGTGCGTCAGGTCCGGCTGCGGCTGCGAGGGGATGAAGCGAGCGGCGGCGTGCTTACTTGGTTGTCGACGTCGACGTATCCCAAGGTGTATAGACGGTGACGGTGGCGTGCTTCGGTTAGGTCGTCGGAGCAGAGTTAGCTCAACAGAACCGTGCGGCGACCGATATTCGTCAGAATAGTGATGACGTCGCCCTTGCAGAAGCTGAGCACACAGTCGCTCTGCGTGGCCATCTCCATCTGCGGCGACGCCCAGTTGCTCGTGCCGTTCACGACGAAGTTGGGGAACTGATCTCGCCGGGGTCAGCGTTCCAGAATATGATGCGAAACATACGCCACGACTCCGGGAGAGGGTCAAGCTCGTGCCAATAGACCGGGTGTCCTTTCCGGCGTCGCCACGGTCATCCGACCCGCAAACACAGAGCCTGTACGACGCGGGATGCTTTTTTGAGAGACAGTGAGTAGCGATACCGAACTTTAAGGCATGGAAAGTGTATGTATAGTCCCCATATGTACCACAGCGTCACACAGAGCGTCGGGGATCGCGCGTTGCGCGACGACCAGGCTCGTGAGCGCGAGCGCGAGGCTCCACACCTTCCCGTTCGCGAGCGCGAGCCAGAGGCCCGCCCGCGTCCGCACCCGGGTCTGCATCGGGTGAGCTGGTATCCTTGCGTATGCGCGGCGAGTCCGAAGTCGCACCTCGGCCGAGGTGAGCCAGCGCGGCCATGTGCTCGGGCTGGACGGAAAGTTGGGGAGGACGAAGAGTGTGCACTTAGGGCACAGACTCCGAGACAGAGGAGATCGTGAGCGCGCGCACAACGATTCTGAAGACCCACCTGCCATCACAAGTCCGTCAGTGCGCGCGAGACGGTACGGGATGAGACACGCACTACCAGGCGGTGTGCCCGAGCCTGCTCTGCATGCCGTCGAAGATGCCCGAGGCGAGCAGGTATTCAGACGTATTGCTGATGAGGAGCCCGCACGAGAGCACGGCGGTGTGCACGCCGAGCTCCGCGCACGCATACCACTTGGAGATTGAGAGGAGGAAAAGCACACCGGGGAAGGCTGGCTCGACGAAGCGAGCGCACCGACGAAGCTGTTTCACGGAGACTCAGCGCATAGGCAATGGCATGGATGGAGAGCCAACTTGGTCACGGATGAGTTTGTGCAATAAATAAGTACTTATGTTGTTATCAAGTGATTTCAGACGACGGTGGCTGTGGCGCGGCTCTGCGACTCCGCGAGCTCGACCTCCTTCTCCTCATCGTCATGTACAACGAGGACCGCTGGTCGACGCCTGTACTGTATTGCGTTACACAGCGCTGTTAATTCGACACGCGCGACAGGCTATACGCCAACTTGTGGCTCGGCCACTAGTATTCACAGGGGCTTACTTTCACCGTGGTCCGTATACATCGCTGCGGACTCGGACGCTGCGCCGCAAGGTGAGACGACACAAGCTGTCCGACGCACTCATCTGATAAGTTTCTCGAGACTACCTAATCACTCACCTGTCTTCTTGAATGCACTTGGGACCGGAGGTGGTCGATGACTTCGACCAGGTGAGCCGGGCGAACCTACTGGCGTGCTAAACAGAGGCATCTGAACACGCTCCATTCCTAGCGTATGATGGCCTACAACGGTCTCGTACCGTACTATGGAGGTAACGATCCGAATCGTTTGACGCGTCGGAGACGCGCCCCCACCCCTCAGCCTGAGATTACGCCGCCTGCAATGTCAAAGGCCTTGAACGAGGCATTAGCACTGGCCAAGAACGCGCAGGGCAGCGCCGACCTGCTACACGAAGCCCTGGTCAACGCGGAGGGCCCGCAGGAACTGCTTAGGGGTATCATCCCGGTCCGTCCTTTACCTTCTTATATACGCGACTATGTACGCATCTCATCACGCCACTCGTTCCCGTGTCTGCAGGAGTTCCGGAATGGCTGTCGCGAGAATGTGCTAGTGGGCATTCTGGAGTACCGGGTGTTGACGACGCTGGGTGGTGCTGCCGTGCCCGATGCCTTGTTGGGATGGCCGATGGGCGCAGCGGGCCCGCCCCCTCGACTACGTAAATCGACGGACACGACCCAGCCTGAATCATGGACAGCACACTACTCGCCGAGCCTATGCGAGTCGTGGGGTGTGCTCTCCTAGCTGAGTTGTATAGTCATGTGGCTTATTGTGAGGATGTGACCTTTTCTGCACACTGTAGGCCCTCCTGAAGGGTACGAATCATAGCGATGCTCGTTTGCCCATCGCGCACATTTCTCGCTAGCTCTCTCACCGAGGTCAGACTCTGATAGCGAAACATTTAGGCATCGCTGTCGATCCCCACGCCATACGCGTTCAACTACCACCTCGACCAGTCCGGCCAGTTCCGCGGCCTCGCCTTCGCCAACTTCCGCCAGGCCGTAGATGCAGACCATGTCGTCGCCGCTTTGAACGGGTTCGAC